TTGTTTCTTTTTCGGTGCTCTGTTTATCTATGCTCGGGGCCGACATGTAGTCGATCATAATTGTCCTTGTTTTTCCAGTTTGAATTGAGCTAGCCAGGTTGGCTAACGCATCGGCGTGGGTGTTGTCATCTCGGCTAACTTGGAGTAATCTGCAGTTCTGGAATAGGGCTGCTAGTCGGATGACTTCCTTTGCATATGCCGACATTCTTTCGTCTCTGGCTGCAAATTCTCCTGTTGACTGGTTAATAATTAATTGTGAATCACAAAAAACAATTACCTCGTCTACCTCTGCTGCTGCTGCTAGCTTTAGTCCTGCAATTAATGCCTCATATTCTGCTTCATTATTGGAGGCTTTGAACCCCAGCCGGATGGACTGTTCTACAATTTCTCCATCTGGAGATATCAGCAGTACTCTTGCTCCTGCTCCTTGGCGGTTTGAACTTCCATCGACGAATAGTCTGAATGAATCGCCGATGTAGATGCTACATGGTCTGAGCTTTTCTTTCTCTTGCTTTTTTGTCTTTGACTGGGATTCTTTTTGCTTGTCGGGGCAATGTTCCTCTTGGCTCGACGGAGCCCGAGGTGTGATGGCTTCAGGTGTGAGTTCTGCGACGAAGTCGGCCAAAACTTGGCCCTTTATAGCTGTTCTTGGCCTAAACTCCAGGTCAAACTGGCCCAGTGTTACTGCCCATTTTGCTATCCTTCCTGTTAAGTCTCCCTGATGTAATAAGGACTTCAGTGGGTGTTCTGTTAGAACCACAATCTTGTGTGCTTGAAAGTAATGGCTCAATTTCTTTGAAGCCATTACCAAGGCTAGCATTAATTTTTCTAGAGGTAGGTACCTTGTTTCCGCGTTAGCCAGAGTCTTACTTACATAATAGACAGCCTTCTGCTCCCCTTTTTCCTCTCGGATTAGCACTGCACTGACTGCGTGTTCAGAGACTGCTAAGTACAAAAATAATTCCTCCCCTGGAACTGGGTTAGAAAGGACCGGGGTTGTCGTCAGGTACTTTTTTAGGTCGGCCAGGGCAGCTTCACATTCTTCTGTCCACAGGAAGTCTGTGGCTTTTTTCACCAGGTTAAAGAAAGGTCTGCATTTGTCTGAGCTTCTGCTGATGAATCGGTTTAGGGCTGCGGCCCTTCCAGTGAGTACTTGAACTTGTTTTGCCGATGTTGGACTCTGCAGTTCCAGGATGGCCTTGATTTGGTCTGGGCTGGCTTCAATGCCCTTTCTTGTTACCAGATATCCTAGAAATTTACCTGACCCAACTCCGAAGGCACACTTCGAGGCGTTGAGTCGGAGCCGATATCTTTTGAGTATGTCAAAGACCTCTTTTAGGTCGGCAATATGACCTTTTGATTCCTTGGTCTTTACGACCATGTCATCGATGTAAACTTCTACTGTTTTGCCAATCAGGTATTTAAACATCTTTGTCACTAACCTCTGATAGGTTGCTCCTGCGTTTTTCAGCCCAAAAGGCATTACCCTGTAACAGTACAGGCCTTTCGGGGTGATGAACGCGGTCTTCTCTTCATCTGGAGGGTACATAGCAATCTGGTGGTATCCTCTGTATGCATCTAAAAAACTCATCATTTCATGTCCCGAAGTGGCGTCCACCAGTTAGTCAATTTTGGGTAGGGGAAAGCTGTCTTTGGGGCAAGCTTTGTTGAGGCTGGTAAAATCTACACAAACCCTCCACTTGCCATTCTTCTTTTTTACTACTACTGTGTTGGACAGCCACGTTGGGTACTGAACTTCTCGGATGGCCCTGGCCTTAAGGAGTCTGTCTACCTCTTCCTCCACTGCTTCGACGTGCAATAACGTCGGCCTTCTGGCTCGTTGAATCACTGGTTTTGCCGATCTGTCGACGTTCAGACTATGGCAAGTGACCTTGGGGTCAATGCCAGGCATTTCATAGGGTGTCCAGGCGAACGCCTCTATGTTTGCCCTTAAAAAATCTTCCAGTTCCTTTTCCTCTTCTCTGGCTAAGCCAGAGCCGAGAAGAAAAAATCGTTCTTCGTCGCCCTCCTGGACGAGGATTTTCTTTAGCGCCTCTTCGCTTTTCTCGGTTGGTTCTTTCCCAACATCTTCCAGGACTTCCATGTCCTCATCTTCAACTTCTGCTTTCTTTGGTTCCTGTATACTACAGGTGGATTTTATTGCTGCCATGGAGCAATTTTTGGCTTGTAGTTGATCCCCTCTGACTTCTTCAATCCCATTCTCCGTTGGGAACCGGAGTAGTTGATGCAATGTCAAGGGAACTGCCCCCATTGCATGCAACCACGGCCTTCCCAAGATGATGTTGTATGGTGAGGGTGTGTCAATTACCAGGAATTCCGTCCTGATCTTTTTAGTGCCGGCTTGCACTTCTAAGCTTGTTGCACCCAGTGGCCATGTCGGCGTTCCATTAAAGCCGACCATCGGGCCATTTGATTGTTCTAGGTCATCGGGGTGTAGGCCTAGCTCTTTGTAACATCTGACATACATGATGTCACAGGAGCTGCCTTGATCTATTAGGATGCGTTTTACTTGGCACTCCCCAACCTGGAGGGATACTACCAAGGCATCATTATGCGGGTGTTGGACCAGTTCTAGGTCGGCTTCAGTAAAGGCTATCGTTGGCCCTTGGCATTCTTCTGGCCGATGTCTCTTATCCCCAACTTGGTAGATATGCTGTAAATGTCTTACCCTCTGGGTTTCTCCTCTGACTTCGTTTTTGTTGACCCTTGAGTGGATCACATTAACTACTCTCGGTTCTCCTGCTTGTGGTAGCTGTGCTGGGGGAGGGGGTGCTGCTGGGGCTTGAGGCAACCTTGCCTGTTCTTCCCTTGTTCTGGCCTCATCGACCAGGTCCCTCAGAAGGCCTTGTCTTACCAGATCTTCCAAGTGTGCTTTTAAGGCTCTGCAACCTTGAGTTGGATGCCCTTCTTCATTGTGGTAGGCACAACGTCTACCAACGTTCCTTCCCATGAATTCCCCCGGTGCTCTTGCTGGAGCCCTAAAATAAGGTTGATTTCGAATCCGATCCAAAATTTTATGGATTGGGATCCGGAATACCGTGGTTACCGCCTGTTTATTTCTTAATTCTATTTCTTGTTTGGTCGGCCCATTGTTGACTTGGCTTCGCTTTGGCGAGCCGTTTCCCTTTTCTTGCTTTACCTCTTTGTTTCCCGATGTATCTTCCTCGGCCCTGGCGTATTTCTCAATTCTTGCCATGAGTTCTTCCATGCTCTTTGGCAATGTTTTTGCCAAGGATTTCCGTAGTGGGCAGTCATCTTTCAGGCCGTTCTTGAAAGACACGACTGCTACTTCCTGGTTGCATTCGGGTATTCGGTTGAACACCTCGTAGTACCTCTTCGCATAGGCCCTAAGGCCTTCTTCCTTGGTGATTCTTAGAGCCATCAAAGCATCAACCCTCAGGGGTTGCAGCTTGTTGGTCACGAACCTGGCCACAAACATCTCGGCCAAGCCTTCCCATGTCTTTATGCTTCCTTTTGGTAACTTATGGAACCAATCAGATGCAATTTCCCCAAAGGATGAGGGGAATACCTTGCAAAGCAACGGCTCATTCCCGCTATATAGTGCCATTGAATTTAGGTATAGCCCAACATGAAAGTTTGGATCTGACTTACCATCATAGATTTAAAACCTCGGCATACTGAATCTCTTGGGCGGTTCGAATTTGTCCAGTTCCACCGAGAAGGCTGTCTTCGGTTTTACTGGGGAGTTTACCTCGGCTTCTGCATTCTGCTGCCTCCTCTTGAGGTAGTCCCTTAAATCTTCTTTGCTCCTCCCTGGAGCTCGGCTGTCTTTGGATTTTAGTCTTTTTGGTACACTGCTTTCGGCCTCGAGGTGGGTCCGTTTGGGTCTTTCTTCCTAGGTTGTGTCAAAGTGGAGTACTTGCCCCTGAACATGTCGATGTTCTTTGGGGTCTGGATTCTTCATGCGGTGCGTCCTTCGGGACTCTTCTTGCCTCGGCTTTTCTCGTCTGACTTCCCTGGAAGACCGGTGAGAATGCCTTCCGCTCCTGGTATGTTGAGGGACCTCGGGGATTGTTTTTCCTCCACCCTTCTGGGTGTTGGTTGCTGGTATCGGTGTGTCTTGCAGCGGGTAGGGTGGCTGCATAACATTGTTCTGCATCATGAAGTTGACGACTGACTGAAGGTCTGACAACTTGTTCGCCAGTTCTTTTACTTCCTCATCCATTCGTAGGCACCTGTCCCTCCATACCTGGAGGTTATCTTCATTGTAGTACCTTCCTTGGTTTGTTCTCTTTGACGTGTCGCCTTCCAGGTTTACGTCGTTCTCTCTGTGGCCCTGGCCATGGGCTTCTGAATTGTGGTTGTCTCCTTCAATGTCAAGGTCAATTGGTCTGCCACTCCCAGTGGGAGCGTCATCCCCAATATTTTCCTGCTGTCCGTTACTGGCCATCTATTCTTCCTTCGTTCCCACAGACGGCGCCAAATTGTGTGGGTGAAAATCTGACCACACTGCCTGCTTAGTAACCAACTGGAGAGCACAGGCAGAATAGATGGCTTCAGTAACCTGTAACAGAAAGAAAAGGCTCCGGCGGTGGTTCTTCCACCCGGGGGCACTCCGACGATCAAGTCAGTATATCTCTCAAAGATAATCAAGTACTAAACTGAATACTCAGAATATAAATTACATACCTTAGACCCACGGGGGTGCCTCTCTTTTATAATATACTCAATCCAAGTCCCACTAGAAGTATGACTTCTATGAACTCTAATCTGCTGTTTACTCTGGACTCTTTTAAGAGATAAAGATAAACTCCCTAAGAGTTTTATCCTTATCTTGGTTCAGTCCCCTTTGTGCCTTAGGACTCTCGCCCCTTATCTCGGACTCCGATATCTTCGGAGATGACCTCGGCTTCTCCGAGATTACCTTGGCTTAACTACCAGGGCACGTGGCACCTCGGCTGACACGTCGGCGTCACCATGCCACGTGCTGGTATTCAGAAAATATATCCCCACACTTGGCTATACACTGGGTGAAAAAGTATACACGAGCCTTACCGAGGTTAGAAGACTCATTGAAGCCGTCAAGCTTTTTCCTAATAGCCTGGTGGTTGAAAATCGCAAAGTGAACATAGTTGAGCACATCCCGGGGCCTTCAATCGTTGGCCAATCGACTGTTAGTTAATGTCTCAATGGGACCGCATAATTAAATGTGGTGTTATCATTTATAAGAAGCCTACAATTTAAGTGATTCAATTTAGTTAATAGGCTTAAGGGTATATGTGTTATGGACCTAATGTGTAGATACTAGTTGTATAATTTCTATTTCTATGAGGGGCAGAAATAGAAATTAAAACATATTGGTTAAAGTTGGTTTTCATTCCTTTTGAACTTCCACAACCTTTCAGTTTTGAAAACCAATAAATAGAAATTAAAACCAATAATGGTTAAAGTTGGTCTTCATTCCTTTTGAACTTCTACAACCTTTTAGTTTTGAAAACCAATTACAACCTTTAAAAGGTTATGGTCCCTATTCATTCCCAGGGGAAAATAAGAACACTGCCATTTTTTTTTCTAAATCCTCTTAAGGAGAAACATAAGGCACCAAAGGGGAAAGGATTAGAAGGCAATAACATAATCAATAACAAAGAGTTCATTGATAATCATGCTTCCGTTTAACCGTTCATCAATGGATTCAGGTATGTCATTTTGTCTTGATTTCTTGATAATGCACATGGTAAATGATCCAAAGTGTAAGGTTTATGTTCTGAAATTTATGTTTACAATTGGTATCAAAGCCTGCATATCATGTGTCTTATCAGAATTGATATGCTTTATTCATTCTATTTAGTTTCCTGGAATCAGATTCTAAATTTTCTTATGGATGAAAATTCTGTTTTTCTCTGTTTTGTTCTGTGAAAATGGCAATCTATTTTCTGGAATTGTAAAATGATTCGGTGGGCAGTTTTTTTTTTTCTCTCAAATGGATGAACAAATGGATGAACATCATGTATTTATATATATATAGATATATCTTGCGATTTGATCGGTTTAATTTTGAACATCATAAAAAAAAAAAAAATTTATTTTTTGGACCCGTCAATTCTATTTATATATGTATATATATAATTGGAATTGCTGCAGATTATATAAAATATACGGGGTCACAAATTTAGAAATCTTTAAATGTAATGTAATTTCATACAACGTCTACAGAAATTTAATTTTCTAACATTCTCAATATAAGTCAATTCAAACAAGATGTCACAAAAGTGATCTCTCTTGTCTAGATTATTTTATATGGAATGTTTTGAAGTTCATGTCTATGTATCTCATGCGGGTATTTATCGGTCCAAAGACATGATTAAGACTTGGCAGAATTACACACACATTTTGTGGTGATAAACATGTGCCAATTGTCAAGAAAACCTAATGTGAATAATAAATCCATCAAAAGATAGATTTGTTATTTGACATAACTTATTGTCAATGTTTGATCATTACAACAAGAATACCAATGGATTAATTGAAACATGTGCAATGTGCATGTCAAATACTTTGGATTTGAAGGAATTGTTGTTTGATCTTGTTCAGCTTGCCAAGGACCTTCTTAATGTCACTCCTCTCCACAGGTAACTCACTGGTGCACTCCAAACCCAACTCTAAAATAGCAAGAAGAATGCTTTGTGAGGCAACCATGTCACTGCCATTTTGCATCCTCAATAAACCACCATCCACTATTTCCATAATTTTGTTGGGAAGTGATGTGCTCACCCATTGCCTTAAATTGATCTCCGCAGAGAACATTTGATCTATGGGTTTCTTTCTTGTGAATGTTTCCAAAAGCATCATACCATAGCTATATATATCACCACTTGTTGAGACTTGTCCTTCAAAACCATATTTTGTGTAAAATATGAGAAATGTTATATATTATTGATTTTTGTTATCATTTTATATCGCCATCTACATGTATACTTATATTCTTTGTTTGAAAATAATTATGAAGAAATTAATGGAAACCACTAATATATTGCCAAATACCCTGGTCATATAAAAAAGAGAATGGCCATTCTCTATACTCGTATCCTCCGGACCTAATGTGTAGATACTTGTTGTATAATTTCTATTTCTATGAGGGGCAGAAATAGAAATTAAAACATATTGGTTAAAGTTGGTTTTCATTCCTTTTGAACTTTCACAACCTTTCAGTTTTGAAAACCAATAAATAGAAATTAAAACCAATAATGGTTAAAGTTTGGTTTTCATTCCTTTTGAACTTTCACAACCTTTCAGTTTTGAAAACCAATAAATAGAAATTAAAACCAATAATGGTTAAAGTTTGGTTTTCATTCCTTTTGAACTTCCACAACTTTTCAGTTTTGAAAACCAATAAATAGAAATTAAAACCCAATAATGGTTAAAGTTGGTTTTCATTCCTTTTGAACTTCCACAACCTTTCAGTTTTGAAAACCAATAAATAGAAATTAAAACCAATAATGGTTAAAGTTGGTTTTCATTCCTTTTGAACTTCCACAACCTTTCAGTTTTGAAAACCAATAAATAGAAATTAAAACCAATAATGGTTAAAGTTGGTTTTCATTCCTTTTGAACTTCCACAACCTTTCAGTTTTGAAAACCAATAAATAGAAATTAAAACCAATAATGGTTGAAGTTGGTTTTCATTCCTTTTGAACTTCCACAACCTTTCAGCTTTGAAAATCAATTACAACCTTTAAAAGGTTATGGTCCCTATTCCTTCCCAGGGGAAAATAAGAACACTGCCATTTTTTTCCTAAATCCTCTCAAGGAGAAACATAAGGCACCAAAGGGGAAATGATTAGAAGGCAATAACATAATCAATAACAAAGAGTTCATTGATAATCATGCTTCCGTTTAACCGTTCATCAATGGATTCAGGTATGTCATTTTGTCTTGATTTCTTGATAATACACATGGTAAATGATCCAAAGTGTAATGTTTATGTTCTGAAATTTATGTTTACATCGACAGCTTCCAAAATCTAATCAAGGTTATGAATTTGTTGAATGATGATGATGATGGTGCAAGTAAGATCGGCGTTTGGGGTATGGGTGGAGTTGGCAAGACTACTCTAGTCAAGAATTTGAACAACCAGCTCGAGACTGCTTCTGCTGCTTCTTCTTTTGCTCAACCTTTCAGCATCATTATATGGCTCACCGTCTCTAAGGAATTGGACCTGAAAAGGCTCCAAACATAACTCCTGGAAAGATTGAATTTGGTGGTAAAAGCAGGGAAAAACATGGAGAGTTCTGCAAGCAGACTTCATAAACGACTTAAAATGGAGAAATGATTCCTCCTCATACCAGATGATGTTTGGGAGGCAATTGATTTGGATTATCTAGGTGTCCCATAAGAACAACCAGAATTTCGACTGGGAAACAAGGTAATACTGACCTCTCGATCTTTGGATGTATGTCGGCAGATGAAGACGGATATAGATGTTAAAGTGAATGTTCTAAGCGAGGAAGAATCTTGGCAACTGTTTACTCAAAATGCTGGGAAGGTAGCCACTCTACCACATATTGAACCGATTGCAAGGAAAGTTAGCAAAGAATGTAGTGGATTGCCCCAAGCCATCATCATTGTTGGGGCTTCCATGAGGGGGAAGACAACGGAGACATTGTGAAACGATGCCTTAAATGCTTTGGAAATGTCTGTGCCTAGCATCAAAGGAATTGAGGATAAGGGGTACAAGCCTCTCAAATGGAGTTACGATTCATTGTTTTTCCAAGATATGGATATCAAATCTTGTTTTTTGTATTGCTCCTTATATCCAGAGGACTTTTCAATTCAAGTAAGGGAACTTGTGCAATGCTGGATTGCGGAAGGCTTGGTGGTAGTACAAAAACGCTATGAGGATTAAATGAATAGGGGAATTGCTTTGGTTGAAAATCTCAAGGACTCTTGCTTGCTAGAAGATGGTATCTTCAACCACACTGTGAAGATGCATGACGTAGTTCATGATGTTGCCATATGGATTGCAACCTCCTCGAAACTTGATGGATGTAAATCCTTTGTTCAGTCAGGAATCGGTTCGAATCAAATTTCAGAAGTTGAATTGTCAGAATCTCTCAATAGAGTTTCTTTTATGGAGAACGAAATAACAAGGTTGCCTGATTGCGCAATACAATGCCCAAAGGTATCAAGTCTACTTCTACAAGGTAATCTTCCTCTTGAGATAGTTCCAGAAGGATTCCTGCTTGGATTTCCAGCACTTAGAGTCTTAAATCTGAGTGAAACTTGCATCCATACACTACCTCTTTCAGTTATCCAATTGCATAAACTCGAGGCTTTTCTGCTACAAGGATGTCAGAACCTCAAAGAATTACCCCCACTTGGAACACTTCATAGGTTACAAGTTCTCGATTGCTCTTCTACTAATCTTGAGGCATTGCCAGAAGGAATGGAAAATTTAACCGATCTAAGGCTGTTAGATCTATCAGAAACTCACCACTTGAGACATATTCCAAATGGAATTATATCCCAGTTGTCCCGTTTAGAAACTATAAACATGACAAATAGTTTCTACAAGTGGAGTGGGAAGAGACCAAAGGAAGAATTGGGAACAACACCAATTGATGAGCTAGGATGCCTCAACCAATTGATTGCTCTATACATTAACCTGAACAGCTTGTATCTTGCCTTTGAAGATCTTTCTTGGATAAAAAGATTAAAAAGATTCCATTTTGTCATAGGTCATGCTGATGAAAAACTTCTAGTACAACAAAAATGTCAGGAAAAGAGGGTTAATCTTTGTTGGGTTGATTTTTCTGGGGAATGTTGTTGGGTTAAGCAATTGTTGGAAAATGCAAGTAATCTGATTTTGGATCATTGTCAAAATCTAGAAGCGATACCTGCAGGCTTGGCAAATGAATGCTACTGTTTTATTGGTTTGAAATCACTAACTATCACAGATTACTATGGTAAGTTTCTACCAGCAAGAGAAAGTGGTGATGACCGATTTGACCTCTTACCTAACCTTGAGGAACTTGTTCTCCGTCAAGTGTCTCGACTATTGTCCATTTCAGAACTAGCTCAATTTCTCAAACTCCGACTTTCTACACTAAGAAAAATAAGTTTGTCCCGTTGTGAGAGTTTAAAATATCTTGTCTCTTCTAGTGCGAGTTTGAAAAATCTAGAAGAACTCACTGTTAGCTCTTGTTGGATGTTTCCAGAGCTCTTTGAGAATGCTAGTTCAAGCCAGTCTTTTGAGGACCTTCTTGAGCATGCTACTTCAAGCCAAACATTGGTTCCAAGTTGCATTGTTCCAAACCTACGGATATTGACATTGATATATCTTCCCAGATTAACGACCCTATGCGGACAACACCAGTCATGGCAGCATCTAGAGAACTTGAAGTAATCGCTTGCTACCAATTCAAGAAGTTGCCATTCACTACCCAAAATGCTACTGCCATAAAAGAAATAAGAGGTTCATCGCAATGGTGGAACGATTTGGAGTGGGATGATGAAGATACAAAATCAGGTCTACAGCAGTATTTCAAGCCCTATTAATGCTGGAAGGTACAGGCTTTCGGGATTGCTCAAAGATTTCACAAGTCTGTTGTGTTGCTGGGTAGCAAGTCAAGAATAAATTGAAAGGAGCTGTGCATTAGTTTACTCAAAGGCCACGCTTTTGAAGCTCAATGCAGGTTCAACTTTCTCCGACTAGCTCGAAAAGTGTTCGTTTGGGAGGTCAGTCCAGTTTACTTTCTGCGAGTTCTTGTAACGTGTTGAATTTTAGGCAAAAATTTTGAGTGAATATTGTAGCTGCCCTTATGTCCATGACTAGGTGCTCGTGTTGTGTGATTGTTCAGTTGTTTGATTACTTATCTCTTACTCTTATTGTCATTTTCTGTTAGTTTATATATGATAGTGTTGGTTGCTTTTGTGATTGGGCATTGTGACAATGTGCTTGTGATGCTTTCATTTCTTTGAATCACAAACTTGCTTTGTTTGAAAAGTGAGACATGAAGTTCCTCTGGAGTTTTGAGGTCCTAAATCCTGGTACGGCCGTTAAAACTGTATTCTATTTCACCATTGGCAATACTTAGGGACAGAACCTCCTTCGGCCTATTAGTGGTGGAATTGTAAGTTACAGGAATAATTGACTAGACCAAACTCAGTCCCTAGGCAATTCAAAACTCTAGTTGTGCATGAGTGCCCTATACCCTCAAGGGTGTTCTACCAACACATTGTGATTGTTTTGTTTCTTTTTGTGGTCCTTCACTTCTTTGAATGTCGCTAGTGCTTAATTCGAGAAATTTTACAGCTGCTCAAAAGAATTTCATTTGATTTTCCCAAGGCTGTTACACGGTTCATGAATTTGAAAAAAATTTGAAACGAGAAAGAAAAAAAATAGTAAATAAAATATATTTACATTTCACATAATCTTTCTTTTTTCATTTTTTAATTTCTTCCCAAATCCATGAACCAACACCACCTGAGAAAAACAAAAACATTTTGAAAAAACTAACAGCTAAAATCAAAGATTAGGGTATTTTTCACTAAAAACATAAAGGGTTCGTTTGGTTTGTATTTCTGAAAAAATTTTGAGAAATTTTCTCTACAAATAAGTTTTTAAAAGTAATCAAACCAAATAAATTTTTTCAAAAAAATTTCTCAAAACTTGTAAACCAAACAAGTTTTCCAAACAAATCTCTCTCACACATACATCAAATCAATCACTTTTTCCAAAACTCTCTCTCAAAATAATTTTTCAAAGGACTTTTCTTAAGCGTGCCTTGCATATGGTATGCAAGGTATTTACGACCTTGCATTTACACCTTGTATGCCTTGCATTTACGACATTTGTTTGCATTTACACCTTGCATATGGTGTGCAACTTTAAGGGGGTTGCACACCTAAACATTACCCTTTTTCAAAACATCTTTTAAAAAAAATCAAACCAAATAACTTTTCGTACTTTTTATCTCTAAAATACATCTCTCAAACATAAATTAAACATACCCAAAATTTCCCGGGCAACAAGGGTCACTCTTAAATTAATTTACCAATTAATCATCTGCCATGGTCCAAACTCCAATACAAAAGGATATAATAATAAAAAGTCAAATCCACTTCAGATATACTACAGTAACCTAACCTTAAAAAACTCTTTACAACAAATTTTCTTTTCTTTTTTTAATTCATGCCTCGTCGAAAACTCTCAGTTTTTTTTTTTTTTTTTGAAGATTTTTTTTTGAAGACTCCAAAACTGAGTTGAAAGCGTTAATAAATCATCTCCTTCCTCTTTTTATACACTTTTTTTAAAAAAAAATTTAAATTTTTATTTATAGGTTCCCACAAAAGAAAAATAAATACAAGCATTAAATTTAGTGCTTAAATCCACATGGACCACGCAACTTGACAAAGAATGCACCCAAATATGAAACTATTGAAATTTTTTAACACCTCCCAATTAAAGTGCACAAAAATAGTAGTAACAAGTAAAATTCAAATTAATAGAATAAGATGACGGCAATAAAGAGTTGGAAGGTGACGCTATTATTTACATATTACAGCTGATTATTGGAACATTATATATATTGTCTGTTATTTACAGAGTCAACAGAAGAAGATCATACCCGAACAACATACTATCCACAATTTGGCATTGTGGTCAAGCATACTTCACCTCACTCACTCACTCACTCCTCTACACTTGCACCCACAATATTAACACTGTTAAAGCAACCTTCCCGGATAACAAAACAATAGTAGCTGCACAACCTGTGAAATATAAAAATACAATTAACTCAAAACAACTATAAAAAAAAATAAAAACAGAAACCAAAAAACTTGGATCCTAAAAACAGTATAAGAAAGGAAAATAATTGGGCGCCTATGTTAACAACTAATCAAACTCATTGTCTTCATCTTTGAATTGATTCTCCATTTTTCGGCCGCCTATGTTATTATTTACAAACATGGTTTGGGCCTCCATCATTGGGCGTCCTCCATTACTTACAACCCCAAACTGACTGCTTGATTTTGGGCTGTCATTATTTAGAAAGCCCTTAGTTGTTTCTGTGGGCATATGAGAACCTCCCCACCTAGTTTCTTCAATGGCTCTGTGAAATTCCGCGACTGCAACCCCACCATCAGTAAATGAGTCAAGAGAGCCGGAGCTGCTCTTGCACGAAAGCCTGCCATTTTCAGACAGTCCAGATGTCTGACGCAGCAGACGCCCATTATTAGTATTGCTAGCTGAAGCAGGAGTCCTGGAGATAAAGAAGGAAAATAAATATGTTATTTCAGAAACATGTAGAATGGCATACTGTTGAACAAAAGTGCAAAAAACAGTAACTACAAAATGAAACATAGGTAAAATAAATAAAATAAAATTATTGAATAAAATGGAATTATAGAACCTCAGCACACCTCGCCTGCTGGAATTTGGGAGTTTGAATCATGCGAGTTGGAATCCTCTCAATCTCAATTTCCCCTCCACACGCATCATCCACATCTATTTTGATGTCATTCACTGTCATAGACTGGAAGTACATCTACAAAAAATACAAGAACTTAATGACTTCAAACTTGTCACACCAATAAACATGCATAATTTGCAAAACAAATACAAATTCAAGTCTCCTGCACATCATGAAGAATACCTCAGGCTTTGCCCACAATGGGATCCGGGGTTGATGCATCTGCAATTCAGCTTCACAAATAAATAGATGATGTCATTCCTCAGGACTGATCTTTACTTTCCCGACTGAACCCCTAGCCTCAAGGTAGCCACTATTTTCCCTTTTTATTACTTCACGAAATATTTTACCGCTGTCTGAATATCCATTTTCACTATAGATGTCATAATTATCTTCTCTGTCTCTTCGACTCTGTTTCTGACAAATATTCCACTTTTGGATTGCTTCAACTAATAATCTTGCATAACTTTCAGGAGCTAAGTCATAAGATGAGACTTGTAAGATAAATTGATAGAGAGAGATACAGAGAGAATGAATTATGTATTGATTGATTGATATTATTGATGTATTGTATGTACATTATATAGGAGATGTGAAGTGGAGGTGGAGTGGTGGAGTAAGTGAAGTGGAGTGTGTAGTGGAGTAGGTGAAGTGGAGGTGGAGTGGTGTAGGTGAAGTGGAGGTGGTAGGTGGAGAGTAGGTATGTTTACAATTTACATTAACAGCCCCCCTCAAACTCAAGGAGGATAGGTACTAGCCAACTTGAGTTTGGAGAGAGTAACAAAACAGAAAAATAAGCTGACAAATAAAATTAAAATAGGTAGGAGACACTGTATGGTCGTGTCAGACCGTTGTTGAAGACACGGTATGGTCGTGTCGGACCGTTGTAGCAGGACAGTTTACGAGGTCATGCCGGACCGATGTAGCAGACACTGTGTGGTCGTGTCAGACAGTTGTAGAAGACAGTTTATGGGGTCATGTCGGACCGATGTAGGCCGGAATCAATGTCGGGACAGTTTACGGGGTCATGTCGGACCGATGTAGCAGACACTGTGTGGTCGTGTCAGACCGTTGTAGAAGACAGTTTATGGGGTCATGTCGGACCGGTGTAGAAGACAGTTTATGGGGTCATGTCGGACCGTTGTAGCAGAACAGTTTACGAGGTCATACCGGACCGATGCAGCAGGACAGTTTACGAGGTCATGCCGGACCGATATAGCAGACACTGTGTGGTCGTGTCAGACTGTTGTTGTAGAAGACAGTTTATGGGGTCATGTCGGACCGTTGTAGCAGCTGACCGGAATCAATGTCGGGACAGTTTATGGGGTCATGCCGGACCGATGTAGAAGCTTGTGGTGGTGCACCAAGGGAGCGACTTAGGGAGTGCGCCATGGGGTGGCTTGGGTGGTTCCCATGGTGTGTAACCATACTCACCATGATACATGATATATGTATAACCCCCCCTCAAACTCAAATAGGTGTGAAGATAGAAACCTATTTGAGGTTGAAACAAAGGGATTGATAAAGCTGACCGGTGTAGAAGACACTGTATGAGTGTGTAGATAGGCTGCCCAAAAGATATACATGGATAGAGATATCGAGCCCTCAAAAGTCGTGCCCTCAAAAGGTGTGCCCAATCTGTCAAAAGGCGTGCCATCAAAAGGCGTGCCCGAATGCATCAAAAGGCGTGCCATGAAAAGGCGTGCCAGTTTGTCGGCGAGAAGAGGCGCGCGATGCGCGTGGCTGCCTCGGCTATTTAACCAAGACAAACCGAAGCGGAGGAGGCAGAAACTGAGACAGAAAAACTGAGAGAAACCTCTGAAAAATTCTTCGTTTTGCTGAGAAAGAGAGGTCGTTTTGCTGAGAGAGATAGGCTGTAACACTCTGTTGCGAGAGATATTTTGTAACACTCTGTTGCCCAGAAAATGGCCTCGTCTTCCCGTGGGCTGCTCACTCTCTTTCCCGATCTCAACGAGTCCACAGGAGAGAGAACTGGTGCGGTGTCCCGTGAACCTCAACCAAACACCACTGGGTTTGCTCCGTTGAACTTTCCGATGCAGTCGGTGGAGCAAAAAATGGCAGTGCAAACGGATGTGGAGGCCAATCAGTATACTTTGAAGGCATGTATGGAGTCCATGACGGCGGTCACAAACCTGTCGCACCGGCTACAGAGTAGGACAAATGAGGTGCAGCAATTAAACTCCCAGCTGGCTCTGCTCCAACGCATATATAAGGATGCGCGAGCAGAGATAAGCGTGCTAAAGGCGGAAGGCCACCGTGATGTTCCGATTTGGAGGTCCTCCATATGCTGCAGTGGAGGAGTATGGGGGAGTGAACGTGCTCAGCGGCGTGGAAAACACGGAGGCAGCACCGTCAAGGGCCGCTCAGGACGGAGGCAAGAAGAAGAGAACGGCTGCAGAATAGAGAAGAAAAATTCCGCCTGTGGATGTGGTTGGTCGTTTGTATTTTTTTTTTTTGTGGTTGATGTGTAAAAGTGTGATCGGG